GATCCATCATAACACTCATTCATTTGGTATGCTGCAGTACCATATGCAGTTCCAGCATGGATCGAGCGTGTGATTGTAGATATGTTGTAGGTATAAGTGCTGGCATGGTGGACCTGGTCCTCATATGTGTGTCTGCCCGAATGGGAAAGTGGTCTGCTGTGAGAATCGGGCTCTAGCGAGATGGTGGCCCTAGGTTTTTGTTGGGCATACCTCTGTTCGAAGGCGCCCTTAAGAACGGTTTAAGAATGCTGGGGGACGGAATGCTTGAGAACACTGTAACAACGCTTGAGAACGCTGCAAGAATACTTGAGAATGCTGTGAGAACGCTTGAGAATGTTGTAAGAACACTTGAGAATGCTGTGAGAACGCTATAAGAACGCTGTAAGAATGCTTGAGAATGCTGTAAGAACGCTTAAGAATGGTGAGAGAACGGTGTAAGAACGCTGTAAGAACGCTTAAGAATGGTGAGAGAACGCTGTAAGAACGCTTGAGAACGCTGTAAGAACGCTTAAGAATGGTGAGAGAACGCTGTAAGAATGCTTGAGAACACTGTAAGAACGCTTAAGAATGGTGAGAGAACGGTGTAAGAACGCTTGAGAACGCTTTAAGAACGCTTAAGATTGGTGAGAGAACGGTGTAAGAACGCTTAAGAGTGGTGAAAGATTGCTTAAGAATGCGTGAGAAAATGGTTTGAGAATGTCCTTGAGAACGGGTAAGATCGCTGAGAACGCTTAAGATTCCCTGCAAAGAGCGCTCTCTTGAGATCGCTTAAGAACGCTTGAGAAGGCACAATCTTAAAACATGGCAGATAAGAGCGTTCTCAGAACGCTCTTAACAGCGGCATCTACTTGTGCTTTATATGGCTTAAGATTGCGTTGAGAGCGCTCTTAAAGCGGTTTCATTTTGGTAGGGATGCGACGGCGGCAAGAGGTGACGAGTGCAAGACTGGTTGCACACACCCAGGTGGTCCAGGCTGTTCATGCCGATCTCGTCGATTATGAGCGCACCATCGCCGACATTGCGATGCACCTGTAGGCTGGCTGTGCTGCCTTTCCGGACGCTTTCTGCTCGGTTGCTGCCAGCAGACAGGGCAAACATGGCGTGGGTAGAGAGGCTGCGGTGCACCGGCGTGTTGAATGCAGTTGCAGCAGCCCATGAGTAGGCGCAGGTGGCCGCCCAGTGCGGGCAGCCATGCTGGAAGGTGTACCAAAGGAGCGCTTGTACGAACTGGCTCTTTCCGGTACCGGGCTTGCCCTCCACAAGCATCTGTGGCGGGTCGCCAGGGTTCGGCTCCTCGCGGCGATCGAAGTACCGAGCCATGAGCATGAAGGGCACGGCCTGGTGGGGGGCGAGCGTGAACAGCTCGATGGTGTCGTCGATGCTGGGCGGCTGGGGGAGGTGCACGTAGATGGGCATGCGAGCCTGTTCAGTCCGCTCAGGAGTGCCAGGCATGCGCACGATGGCGACCAGGGGTCCGCTGGTGGGGCGGTGCAGCTCGACATGAGGGGTGTCCATCTCAGGTGTGGCCGTCAGTCCCGTGTGGGCGCCCCCATCTGCCTCAACAGTGCCGGCTGCTGCTGCAATTTAGATACCGCTTCAGACGCTTGCTCGCTTCAGTCAGGAGGGGCAGGTCCGCTGGCGTGATCCGACGGCTGAAATGATCGCTGCGTGCACCATGGCCGTCCACTAGGGCCGGGGCTCGGCATCACCGTGCTGCATCGTAGGCATATGCGCCAGCAGCGTTGGTGCAGTCAAACAGGTCCGTAAGAGCGACGGCGGCGAGGTCTGTGCCAGCCGTTGGATACTCCTGACCTGGGATGTACACGAAGTGCTCCAGCTGGTCCTCAGCGGGCGGCTGTGTTTCAGGGTCAGGCCTGAGATGCCCGCGGATGCCGTCATCAGTATCTCCATCCGAAGCGCTCGTGCTGTCACCTTCAGGCAGCGCGGCCGCTGCCGCTGCCGCACACTGCTGGCGGCGCCGCTGGTTGTACTCCGCCTGATGGCGGGCTTTCCCTGCGTGGTCCTCTTCGATGTTGTCCAGCAGCACCGTTACGTACGCTTGGTATGAGCGACCTGCCTCGGTAGTGCCCAGCTCTGCCCACCAGGTGTCGTAGGCTTCCTTTACACTCAGCCCGGGGGGGATGGGCTGACCCCGGTGAGCTTTGAAAGTACCCAGGACAAACGTGTAGTACTGCGCCATGCCCGCAGCAGAGGTGCCAGGGCGGGGCCGGCGGGGAAGAGAGCCTCCAAGCTGTACATATCGTGGCCGCGGCAGGCGGATGTGGACATGTGTTCTGTACAGCGGATGCGTGCTGTGGAAGGCTACCAGGCGGGGCAGCTCCGTGGCTGTCTGAGACGTTGGCTGGTTGAGTGTCACTGCAGCTGTAGGAGCAGGTGGCTCAGGAGGAGGGGCCGGGGCTGCAGTCAGCAGAGGCACAGGGGCAGGCACAGGGGCGGTTATGGGTGTGGCAGGGGTAGTGCGCTTGCGGCGTCGAACTGCCACCGGGATCTGTAGACCCAATCGCTCTCGGTGCGGGTGCTGAGCTGGCGGCACACGTCGGACCTCGTAGTTGGAGGCTAGGTTGTACACGCTGCAGTCCAGGCCGCTGAGTTCTTCCCCTCGCAGCGTGTAGCTCTGCACGGCGTTGGTCACCGTGTAGCCCTCCTGCTCCTCAGCCTCCACCAGTACTGCCGCTGTGGTCGCTGCCTCAGGAGATTGCTCGGCGCCCGCAGATAGCGCTGTGAACGCGTCTACCTGCAGGTATGCGCTTTCGAACGTCGCCTCGAAGGTGGAATGACCGTCCAGCTTCATGGCGACAAGCGCCATCACTCGGGGAATGACTTGGTCATGGACGGGTTTTCCAGTCATGGATTTGGTCATGTATGTGGTCATGGATCCGGTCATAGTTTGTCATTAAGTCATGGATTTGGTCATGTATGTGGTCATGGATCCGGTCATAATTTGTCATTAAGTCATGGATCCGGTCATGGATCAGTTCATAGTTTGCATAAGCAAGTGCAGGATATGACTGGTTGGGGTCATGAAATGCGTGGTCATGATGGGATTTATGATTGGATTTATGACAGGTCATGGGACCGCAATATGACCGTATTCAGTCATGGCTGCACTTTATGACCCCATGAGGTCATAAAGGTGGTCATGTACCTGCTCATAAATATGCGAAACATGACCAGGTCATATTGCGCATGGTATTCCATGATGGAACAATGCATTCCATGGTGGGGTTGGCGGTGCAGTAGCCTAAACGGCAGGCACGGCGGCGGCGGTAATTAGCAACGCAGCAGCAGTGGCAGCGATGAAGGTGGGGTTGGAAGGTGCAGTAGCCTAAACGGCAGGCACGGCGGCGCCGGGAATTAGCAACACAGCAGCAGTGGCAGCGACGGCAGTGGGGTTGGGAGGTGCAGTAGCCTAAACGGCAGGCGTGGCGGCGTGGGAATTAGCAACGCAGCAGCAGTGGCAGCGACGGCAGTGGGGTTGGGAGGTGCAGTAGCCTAAACGGCAGGCGTGGCGGCGGTGGGAATTAGCAACGCAGCAGCAGTGGCAGCGACGGCAGTGGGGCTGGGAGGTGCAGTAGCCTAAACGGCAGGCGCGGCGGCGGGGGGAATTAGCAACGCAGCAGCAGGCGCGGCGGCGGCAGGATTTAGCAAAGGAGTAGCAGCGGCCGCGACGAAGGTGGGGCTGGGAGGTGCAGTAGCCTAAATGGCAGGCGCGGCGGTGGCAGGAAATAGCAATGCAGCAGCAGCAGCAGCGACGGCGTTGGGGCTGGGAGGTGCAGTAGCCTAAATGGCAGGCACGGCGGCGGCGGGAATTAGCAACACAGCAGCAGTGGCAGCGACGGCAGTGGGGTTGGGAGGTGCAGTAGCCTAAACGGCAGGCGTGGCGGCGTCGGGAATTAGCAACACAGCAGCAGTGGCAGCGACGGCAGTGGGGCTGGGAGGTGCAGTAGCCTAAACGGCAGGCGTGGCGGCGGTGGGAATTAGCAACGCAGCAGCAGTGGCAGCGACGGCGGTGGGGTTGGAGGTGCAGTAGCCTAAACGGCAGGCGCGGCGGCGGCGGGAATTAGCAACGCAGCAGCAGTGGCGGCGTGAAGGTGGGATTGGAAGGTGCAGTAGCCTTAACGGCAGGCATGCTGGTGGGGTGCAGTAGCCTAAATGGCAGGCGTGGCGGCTGGGGGAATTAGCAACGGAGTAGCAGCGGCAGCGACTGCGTTGGGGCTGGGAGGTGCAGTAGCCTAAATGGCAGGCACGGCGGTGGCAGGAAATAGCAACGCAGCAGCAGCGGCAGCGACAGTGTTGGGGCTGGGAGGTGCAGTAGCCTAAACGGCAGGCGCGGCGGCGGCGGGAATTAGCAACCCAGCAGCAGTGGCAGCGACGAAGGTGGGGCTGGGAGGGCCATTACTCTCAACAGCAGGCACGGCGGCGGTGGGAATTAGCAACGGAGTAGCAGCGGCAGCGACGGCGTTGGGGCTGGGAGGTGCATTAGGGAGGGCCTTTATTTTACAAAAATGGGCCACATCCAATTGGCCATCCAATCTTTTCTCTTTTCACTCTCTTCCAAGTGATGTAGCCACAGAGAACATACAAACACTATTTTGGTATTGCTGTGGCTGCCAGTTCAACTCTGGCATGGAAGTCATTTTTCTTTCTCTGACTATATACCTACTACTATTATACTAAAGGGTAGTACCAGTACTACTATATACATACAAGTAGTAGTAGTAGTAGTAGTAGCAGCACATACAATAAATCGCAAGTGTGATCCAGGGATGCCATTTCGGTGAAACAAAATTTTCAAAATTCTCGCCAGTCCAGAAATGCAAGTCCAGCAGGCGCGGCAGCGGCGGGAAATAGCAACGCAGCAGCAGTGGCAGCGACGGCAGTGGGGTTGGGAGGTGCAGTAGCCTAAACGGCAGGCGTGGCGGCGGCGGGAAATAGCAACACAGCAACAGCGGCAGCGACGGCGTTGGGGCTGGGAGGTGCAGTAGCCTAAACGGCAGGCACGGCGGCGGCGGGAATTAGCAACACAGCAGCAGTGGCAGCGACGGCAGTGGGGTTGGGAGGTGCAGTAGCCTAAACGGCAGGCGTGG